TTAACGGTCCAAGTAGAAAGAAGTGAATTCCTTCATTATTTATGTTAACGTATCCCTAAGAAAAGAAGAACCGCTTCGGAAGCAAGTAAGAGTGGCACTGTCACAACGCCAGTAAAAATAGGTAGATCAGCGAAATAAGCTGGCCGCCCCGCGAAGTAATACCTGGCAGTTCCGCGGAGTGTGGGTTGACGATGGAGGTGGTGTTAGTCGGTAGGAATCCGACATACCCAATGGGACCTATAGAAGGTTTCCACCACCACTGTAAAAAAAGACTATAGACTAGACTGTAGACTATAGACTAGACTATATACAAATCGATTACTCAGAGAATTCGCTTTAGATTCCACTTCTAGACCCAGAAGTCTAGAAATATTGCAAAAATTATAGTGTCCATCCTCAACGTAGAGGTCATGAATGTATGATAATTTATAAATATGTATGTGCATTTTGCAATTCTATTTTAGTGCACACAACTCATATTAATATCCATTTTATATATTTGTACACATTTACTCATGCCATGGTTTGCATGTATATATTTTTTTCTTTTGCCATAAAGCATACATTTTTTTTAATTTACAATTTATTTGTAAATATGTTAGTGGATAAATATAAATAAAAATATGTACAATACAATAGGGTGACCCAAGGTACGGGCTTTTTTATGTAGAAATAACTCACACTCGTTGTGTATTAATGTTTTAAATAAGAGAAATATAAAAAATTGTATTTTTGGTTCGGTATGAGTGGTATTTCTACAAAAAGGTGGTGTACGGGAAACCCTATTAATTAGAAAATTGTTTTGCAAAATTAATCTTTTATATTAGAAAAAGCTTTAATTGTCTACATTATTTGGATTTGCTGAGAAGAAGTTTTGTAAGATCTAAAGTTTCAAAAATAGTCATCAGATTATTCTATTCATTTTACTAGTGCTTGAGTTTGTAGCATTCGTTATCGAAAGAATAACGAATGTTATTTTCGTTCCAAAAGCTTATACGATCACGAACTGAAAAATTTGAAACTCATTTTAGCAAAAGTTTTTCAAAAAATATATATTTCTCGGTTAACTCTATTGTACAAATATTTATAAACAATATGTAGTTTCAGTGTTTTTTTACAAAATCGATATTCTTTAACAGAGATTTTTTTCTTATTTTACCCCCTCCTCGGCAAATTTTAACACATGAATAAATTTTCAACAAAATGTATGTGAATTTAATACTCGTATATTGAGATATATGCATATACATATTTTTTCCTTGGTCTAGCAGTTGATGGACATAAATATGAATAGTGTTGAAAAATAATATATTCATTTGCTCATATTGAAATTAAAGCCGACATGTGTAAAACTTTTTCTTTTGTAACAAATAAAGCAGCATATCAAGGTAAAAGAACAAAAACATTAAAATAACATTTCAAAATTATATTTTGTAAAAAAATATATCACAAATCAAACAGCAATGTTATTAGAAATTATAAATCCAAGATTATTTTCAACTTTTATTCATAGTATCCACTGTTATTAGTTTAAAAACTGCACAAAAATAATCCTACCATTGACCATTTATTTGAAAAAAAAAAAACGTAACTTTTATTTTAACATTGACTGTCAGTTTAAATTTTTATATATAATTTTTTTTTTAAGAAACAACGTTATTGCAACAAATTGAAATGATTTATATACTCCTACATGCCACAAGGAAAACATATGTATGTATTTGTGGTTTTATGGTGTTTTATTTCATTGTGGTTAAACAAAAATTGATATTTATTTTGATTCGTTTAAGGCCAGAAAAAGGTTTTTATTCTTTTATTTTATTGCCTTTCTTTTTTTGGTAAATGTATGCAAATTGAATGCCGGCCAATGAATAAAATGGATTAATAATACTAATTAGAGGTAAGGGTTGGAAATTTAATGGCTCGAAGAGAAAAAGCAGTTTTTATTAAATTTCTTTAATCTCTACGCTATTAAAAGCTATCTAAAAGAATGTAACAGTAAAATGTTATCCGAATTTCGCCTTGTTAATATAGAATATTTGTGAAAAGTTTTAGCCCTATTGTATGAGCCCAAAATTTTTTTCAAGGGATGGACGGACGAACAAATGGAAGGAAGGACAGACATATGTATATACAGACGGAAGGACGACTCATTGTACAAAAAACAAAGACTTTATAAACATTTTAACTCAAAAGTTCTGAAGAGAAGAAAGAGGCTATTCATTTTCATAAAAAAAGCTTCTTTCCAAAAGTTTTTAATAAAAAAGCTTAAAAAAGCTTTAATATACGAGCTTTGTATAGAGCTACATACATATTTACATTAAAACATAATGTCAAACATAAATGTTTCGTCACAAAAAGCTTAAACAAAACTTTTGTACACAAAAGCTTAATATAAGTTTTTACATGAAAGCTGTAAAAAGGTTTCTTACAACAAAAATTTGAAAGTTTTTTTTTACAAAAATTATCAAAAAAAGAAACTTCAAAATAACTTTTTACAATAAGCTTCCAAATAGCTTTTTACACCTAAAGCTATTTTTTAGAAAAAGGACTGCAACAGATCCTAATAATTACATTTTCATATGAAAGCTTAAAAAAATCCATTTTTAGTTTTTTTCTTAAAAAAAAAACTTAAATACAAAAAAGCTTAATTTTTTTTTACAAAAAAGCTTTAAAAAAAAACTTCAAAAATATTAAAATTAATGTTTATAAAATATATTAAAACAAAAATATTCATAAAAGTTTTTTATCTTTTTTGCAAAAATATTTAATATTTGCTTTTTATAAAAAATAAATAAAACAGCTTTTAAAAAAGACATTAATAAAAAACTTTTAAAAAATGTCTAAAAAAGCCAACAACAGCATTTTACAAAAAAGCCTAGAAACAGCTTCTCATATAAATGATTAAATATATAAGTTTTAGCTTTTTCCACAAAAGCTTTAAAATAGCTTTTTCTAAAAAAAAGGCTTAAAAATACATTTTTACAAAAAAGCTTAAAAATAGCTTTTTATAAAAAGGCTTAAAAAAACTTCTTACAAAAAGGCTTAAAAATTAATTTTCAATAAAAAGTTAAAAATAGCTTTTTATAAAAAAGCTTAATTCTTTTTAAAGCCTTAACATAGCTTTTAAAAAAAAGCTTTTAAAATAGCTTTTTAAAAAATGGTTAATTCTTTTTAAATCCTTGACATAGCTTTTTACAAAAAAGCTTAAAACACATTTTTTTACAAAAAAGCTTTAAAAATAGCTTTTTACAAAAAAGCTTAAAAATAACATTCTACAAAAAAGCTTAAAAAAACTTTCGCAAAAAGTCTTAAAAATAGCTTTTAACAAAAAAGCTTTACAAATAATACTTAAAAATTGCTTTTTACTTTTAAGTTTAAAAATCATTTTATCCAAAAAAAAAAACTTAAAAATAACTTTTTCCAAAAAAACCTTAAAAATGACTCCTTACTAAAAGCTTAAAAATAGCTTTCTACAAAGAAGTTTAAAAATAGCTTTTTTCTTAAAAGTTAAAATTTGCTTTTACAAAAAACTTTGAAAAAACTGCTTTTTACAAAAAAGCTTGAAACAGCATTGAAAAATTGTTTACCAACAGAATTAAAAAATTTAAAAAAAAATTTGTATATTTAAAAATTTTTAGCTTTAAAAAAAGCGTTTTACAAAAGGTCTTTCAAAAAGCTTTTAAATAAAAATGTTAAAACACATTTTTTCAAAATAACTTTTTACAATTACTACATAAAGCCTTTTGAAAAACAAAAAAAAAAAAAAAAACTATAGAAAAACTTTTTGTTATACAAAGTCTATTACATAAGAATTTTTACAGCAAAACAGCTTTCAAACGCCTTTTACAAAATGCTTTATAAAAGCTTTCTGCAAAAACACTTTCAATCACCTTTTATAAAATGCTTTACAATAGCTTTTTGCAAAAAATGTCTTTAAATTAGAATACTATATTAAAAATTTTAAACTAAAAAAGCTTAAAAAATGTTTTTATTTAAAAATAAAAAAAACTTTAATAAAATAAAAAGCCCTTTATAAAAAGCTTTTATGAAAAGTGTTTAAAAAACTGCTTTTTTAATACTTTATACAAAAAAGCTTTAGAAAGTTTTTTAAATTAAAATTTTAAAACTCTCTTTACAAAAAAGCTTAAAAATTCTTACTACAAAAAGTTATTTAAGAAATAAACAAAGCTTTTAACAAAAAAGCTTAAAAATAGCTATTTTACAAATAATACTTTAAAAAAAGTAATTTTAAAAGCTTTTATTATATGAGTATCCATTTAAGTTATTAAATAGCTTTCAAACAATTGAGTTTACTTAATATGTATACATTTACTATATGCCTTCATTTTCCTATAATTTAACATTAACAATACATTTTTTTTTATCCATTATCTAAAAATACATTTATTGTTATTCTCTCTTGAGTGAATATAATCCCCAAACATACAATTTACAAATTTATCGTCATCAATTTAAATATTTAAAACGTAACAAAACACAACTAATGCACAGATTAAATTGGTAATTCATACCAAATATCGATTTACGAATAACAACACAATTTTAATGAACAATTAGTTGTAGTTGTTGCAGAGTAAACAATTGCAACAGTTGCGAACTAAATAATACAATAGAAAAAGGTTAAAAGTCAATTTATAAAAACTGGTTATGAGGGGTTTAGGGAGCGAAATGTTTTTAAAACTTTTACTATTTAGTTATTGTTGACGTGTAGAATACTTAATTACTTGAATAGATTAATTGTCCTAATTGAGGTAATGTCGGTTAGCATGGAGATTAAAAGCTGTATTTAAGAGTTTTTAATTAATTGAAATGTTTGTTTAAAAGTATTAAGGAAAAGTAGCGGATAAAATGATTTATAGACTTTTCTGTTACAAACGAAGTTATAAACTTAAAATACCTAACTATTCTTTCATAATGAATTTGTCAATTTATAATTTTTTTCACTTTAGCATTTGAATATCTGTTAAAATTTTTCAATTGACAAATTTTTAATTACTTTTTTAAAACAATAAAATTTTAAGTTTAAAAATTTAAATTAGTGGAATTAAATTTAGTGTGAAATCTTTAAATTATTTAAATTTGAAACGAAATTATGGTAAATTTATATTATTGTAGGTCTTAGTGGTTCGCTAGCATTTATAGACATTTATTTTTCGGACTATAGAGTATACGTGGACGTAGTCGATCTCGCAGTGGTAGTGGCAGAGGAAAGCGCTGTATGCGACCGGGTCCTATAACCAAAAATGGTTATCTAAACTTCCTTAGAGAATATCGGAAAGCATGCTGTGGCATGACCCCTCAAGAAACCATAATACGTGGGGCCCAACAATGGAATAAGTTGTCGGAAAAGGAGAAGGAAAAGTATAATAGGATGGTAAGTTATATATCAAATCTGTTTTGTCCCACAGCTTGTTTAGACCACAGAGATATTTCTCTATACATTGTAATATTTGCACTATATACACAATTTACTTATAACATGAACAGTAAACAATAGTCTGTCCATCTATTCTATTGCTCTTTCATTATCTTTAGAGTAAACCTCGTCGCCGCCGCCGTCGTGGCTCAAGTGCCAAACGTTGCATGCGGCCCGGTCCTGTAACCAATAATGGTTATTTAAACTTTTTACGTGATTATCGTAAACAATGTTGTGGAATGTCACCTACGGAAACCATAAGACGTGGCGCTCAACAATGGTTAAAGCTTTCGGAAGAAGAAAAAAGAAAAGTATAACCGTTTGGTAAGTCTAACACTTTTCTTAAATGTAAAGTAATCAAAGCTAAATGTATCACTTTTCCTTTCTATAGGCCAGACGTCGTAGTAGAAGTGGAAGTCGAGGTCGAAGACGCGTGTGTTAAAGACAAATTGTATTTGTTATTAAGTTGTCCGAAGAATTAGTGATGTTTGTTAACAGAATTATTTTGAAATAATAAAATTTTCGAACTAGATCATCCGTAGTTAATTAAATCATGCTTTTTAACGGGAATCAACTCTAACTAACTAACTAACTAACTAACTAACTAACTAACTACTAACTAACTAACTAACTAACTAACTAACTAACTAACTACTAACTAACTAACTAACTAACTAACTAACTAACTAACTAACTAACTAACTACTAACTAACTAACTAACTAACTAACTAACTAACTAACTAACTAACTAACTAACTAACTAACTAACCTAACTAACTAACTAACTAACTAACTAACTAACTAACTAACGAACTAACTACTAACTAACTAACTAACTAACTAACTAACTAACTAACTACTAACTAACTAACTAACGAACTAACTACTAACTAACTAACTAACTAACTAACTAACTAACTAACGAACTAACTAACTAACTAACTAACTAACTAACTAACTACTACTAACTAACTTACTAACACTAACTAACTAACTAACTACTAACTAACTAACTACTAACTAACTAACTAGACGAACTAACTAACTAACTAACTACTACTAACTAACTACTAACTAACTGACTAACTAACTAACAATAACTAACTAACTAACTAACTAAACTAACTAACTAACGAACTAACTAACCTAACTAACTACTACTAACTAACGAACTAACTAAACTAACTAACGAACTAACGAACTACTAACTAACTAACGAACTACTAACTAACATAACTAACTAACTAACTAACTAACTAACTAGACTAACTAACTAACTAACTAACGAACTAACTAACTAACTAACTAACTAACTAACTAACTAACTAACTAACTAACTAACTAACTAACTAACTAACTAACTAACTAACTAACTAACTAACTAACTAACTAACTAACTAACTAACTAACTAACTAACTAACTAACTAACTAACTAACTAACTAACTAACTACTAACTAACTAACTAACTAACTAACTAACTAACTAACTAACTAACTAACTACTAACTAACTAACTAACTAACTAACTAACTAACTAACTAACTAACTAACTAACTAACTAACTAACTAACTAACTAACTAACTAACTAACTAACTAACTAACTACTAACTAACTAACTAACTAACTAACTAACTAACTAACTAACTAACTAACTAACTAACTAACTAACTAACTAACTACTAACTAACTAACTAACTAACTAACTAACTAACTACTAACTAACTAACTAACTAACTAACTACCTAACTAACTAACTAACTAACTACTAACTACTAACTAACTAACTACTACTAACTAACTAACTAACTAACTACTAACTAACTAACTAAACTAACTAACTACTAACTAACTAACTACTAACTAACTAACTACTAACTAACTAACTACTAACTACTAACTAAAACTAACTAACTAACTAACTAACTGACTAACTAACTAACTAGCTTACTAACTAACTAACTAACTAACTCACTAGCTAACTTACTAACTAACTAAGACTAACAACTAACTAACTACTAACTAACTAACTAACTAACTAACTCCTACTAACTAACTAACTAACTAACTACTAACTAACTGACTAACTAACTAACTAGCTTACTAACTAACTAACTAACTACTCACTAGCTAACTTACTAACTAACTAAGAAACTAACTAACTAACTAACTAACTAACTAACTAACTAACTAACTAACTACTAACTAACTAACTAACTAACTAACTACTAACTAACTAACTAACTAACTAACTAACTAACTAACTACTACTAACTAACTACTAACTAACTAACTAACTAACTAACTAACTAACTACTAACTAACTCAACTACTAACTAACTAACTAACTAACTAACTACTAACTAACTAACTAACTACTAACTAACTAACTAACTAACTAACTAACTAACTAACTAACTAACTAACTAAACTAACTAACTAACTAACTACTAATAACTAACTAACTACTATAACTAACTAACTAACTAACTAACTAACTAACTAACTAACTAACTAACTAACTAACTACTAACTACTAACTAACTAACTAACTAACTAACTAACTAACTAACTAACTAACTAACCTAACTAACTAACTAACTAACTACTAACTAACTAACTAACTAACTAACTAACTACTAACTAACTAACTAACTAACTAACTAACTACACTAACTACTAACTAACTAACTAACTAACTAACTAACTAACTAACTAACTAACTAACTAACTAACTAACTAACTAACTAACTAACTAACTAACTAACTAACTAACTAACTAACTAACTAACTAACTAACTAACTACCAACTAACTAACTAACTAACTAACTAACTAACGATATGCATTATATTTATAAGAAATCTGTAGACCTTGTGGGCTTGCTGCACATCACAATTTTGGATGTGATTTTTTCAGACCGCTTTTCATTTTACTTTAGGCTCCGTACAAAGTCGCCTTCAGAAAATCACTTAAAAGTGAAAATTCACTTTCAATCACTAGTATCTAGCTGTTTTTAATAACGGTTGGCCATTTTGGTCTAATATGTTCCATGTTGTGATATTTGTTTAGTAATGTTGTTGGCAGCTTTATCTTATGATAAAAAAGCTTAGCCTAAAGATCAAACTTTCTAAATAAAAGCGGTTTATGAAACGATTAAAATTGTCCATCATTATTAAGCGATTAAACTTTTCATGACATATTTGCCAAAAGTTTAGCAAATATATATTATAGAAAGCTTAAAGTTGTAGTAAACATTTTCCCTATAGAAAAGCTTAAAGCTTTCTCCGCAAGTAAAGATAAAAGCTTTCTCAATAAGAAAAGCTATAGTAAATTATTATAGTAAACATTATAAAATATTTCCGCAAATAAAAAAGACTTGGACTTTATCGAGTTTAAAAGCATAAAGTTTAAGTGAACATTAAGCTTTTCTTTTCAATAATACCTATGGTAAATAATTAAGCCCGTCTCTACTGAAACATTATTAAATGTTTCTGCAATTGAAAAAAAACTTGAGCTTTCCTATCGAGTTTCAACTTTTTCTTTATAAAAGCTGTGAACGTTTAACTGTTAAAGGACCATACATTCCTCTATTTGTGTTTTTTCTTTCCTTCTTATACCATATCACATACTTTCACAATTATTTCTTTTATTTTATGAGACTTTTGCTCTCATATTTAAACTGGTGCTATTTGAGTCATTTTTTCAATTTGTTTTTCATTTTTCTCGTTTATCGTTTTCACAATATTTGCTAAATGTATTCCAATATTGTTTCTGCCTTCGGTTACAAGTAAATATACTTTTTTGTTTGTTTAACCCAGTAGTTCTGGAGAGGGCCAATGGATGTATAGCTTAAACTAGTGATGGAGAGTTTCATTTATAGAAATGTTTGAGCTAGCAATAGAGAGTTTCTTTATAGAAAAACTTGATTAGCAAGAAAAAGCTTAAGTTAATGGTAGACTAACATGTATTTAAAGTAAAGTCTGGAAAACTTGAGCTAGCGAAAAACAGTTCTTGAGATTTCGTTTATAAAAAGCTTAAGCTATCGGTAAAGATTGCTTTCATATAAAAGCTTGCTTTTATATGAAAGCTTGCTTTTATAAGAAAGTTTGCTTTTATAAGAAAGTTTGCTTTTATAAGAAAGCTTGCTTTTATAAGAAAGCTTGCTTTTATAAGAAAGCTTGCTTTTATAAGAAAGCTTGCTTTTATAAGAAAGCTTGCTTTTATAAGAAATCTTGCTTTTATAAGAAAGCTTGCTTTTATATGAAAGCTTGCTTTTATATGAACGCTTGCTTTTATAAGAAAGCTTGCTTTTATAAGAAAGTTTGCTTTTATAAGAAAGCTTGCTTTTATAAGAAAGCTTGCTTTTATAAGAAAGCTTGCCTTTATAAGAAAGCTTGCTTTTATAAGAAAGTTTGCTTTTATAAGAAAGCTTGCTTTTATAAGAAAGCTAGCTTTTATAAGAAAGCTTGCTTTTATATGAAAGCTTGCTTAAATGGGAAAGCTTGAGCTAGAAATCGAAATTTCGTTTATTTGGAAAGTTTAAACTACAGGAAAGCTTAAGCTAGTTCTAACAATTTTCTGTATAGGAAAGCTTAAGCTACACTGAACTGCAGGGCTCTATGAATAGTATGATTATTTCTCAACACGATTCTGTTAGTTTATAAAAGCACACAAGGATACAAAGGACATTTATGTATCAGTATCAAAAGTCTCTTTATTTAAACAATGGTTTCATTATTGTTTAAACAAGAAAAGTTAATGAATTTTTAATAAATATTAAACAAACCGCTGTGAGTTTAAAGTCTGACAAATATTAAATGCTTTTTCATTTAAAAAATTCAAGAAAAATTCGTTGAAATTTGAAAAATTAAACTCTGTACTATAAATTCTTTGTGCCACTATATAATTGCAAAGTGGCCACAGCGTGACCCTGGTAGAGTAAACATTGTCATAAAAACAAATGATAATAATGATTGTGGCATACAATTTAAAAAGCTCTCATTAATATAATTTAAAGTATGATAATAATTGAAATTAAAATAAAACTGCCAAATGAATTTCTATACATTATGGTTTAAAGGCAATTCGAAAACAATATAAAATAATTAATTAACTTTTCTTATTTAAATAACAAATAAATTATTTGAGTAAATTGTTTAACTAAACATTGGCTATTTGTCTAACAAGATAACAATATAATTTGTGTGTAAAGGAATTTTTTAAGAAATATTTTCTTTTTTGTTTATTTAAAAAAGATAATTTATTCTAAAATTTCTTTAAGAATATAAAAATAGCAGTAATTCCTGGGTCTAGTAGTATTGTTTGTTAGTTAAAAGTGTCACGTACTTTTGCTAAACTAAACAGATATTTATATTCAGATTGTGGTCATAAATTCTTAGATACTTCGTTTCTCTCTTATTTAAAAGGACATTTATGAAGATTACAAGCAGAAGGGCATAAGGAACAAAACATATTTTGAATACTAAGATAAGCAATACAGGTAATTTAGTTTAAATATTGAAAATAAATT